CATATTCATGATTTTATCGACAAAATTATCAGCCTGGGAGCTGGGGAGATGACTCAGTTGGTAAATGATGGCTGTGTAAAACATGAGTACCTGAATTGAATTCAGGTCCTCAGCACCCCATAAAAACCAAGCATGTCAGCACCCAGTGCTGAGGGTATGGGAGACGGAAGTCAAGTGGATCCCTGGGACCTGAAGGCCAGCTAGTTTAGCTGAAATGTTAGCTGCAGGTTGATTAGACACTCTGTCTCAAAAACTGAAATTGACCACAGACCTCCATGTGAACATGCATAGGTGACATATGTATGTGCACACATAAGCATCCCCCGCCCCCCAGGCACACACACATTATCAGCCTGAGATTTGTTGGGAATTTTTTAAAGTTCTTTGGTAAAGACCAGTCTGTTTCTAACTTACAGCTGAATGCCTGTGTTTCCATTTGTCTTGTAGATTGTCTTGATGCCTGCTGATAACTTAAAGCCCTAGTATTTGACTTACAATGAAGCCCCCTCAACCTCCCCACCCACCCAACATGGCTCCTGCACATCTGGTCTCGTGGCTCCTTGAGTGTTTTAAGTTCAATGAGAAGGAATGGCGATCTATGAAACCATTATGTTTTAGAGAGTTATTAATGCAGAATTAAAAGAATAAGATGTTAATGTGGGGTCCCTGAGACATCACTCACTGCCCCACACTGCTGGTAATAGTGTCTAGAATCTTTTGTTTTAGAAAATAAACAGATGGTGAGAGATGTGGGTTGAAGACTCAAATCTGCAGTGACAGGAATCTGGAATGCAGGGATGATTCTGCAAGAAATTCTGAGATGTGTTTAAAAGTGTGCATCTGAAAGGAAGCAATGTTGGGGCCAAAACTTTATTCTCCAGATTCTGCCTTGAGTAACCAGATAGGCGATGAACCTGTTCAACAACATGGAGAAGATTGAGCTACCTTGTCTTAGGACAGCTCTGCTTATTTCTAGGATGAGCAAAGTTATAAATGGTATTGTGTGGTGTAGCCTTTGGAGAGATAAATGGACTTTACAGTTTGGGTTTGATGGTTAATGGAGTATAGTGTGCTTGTCTTACTTTAAGCTCATAACTCCTGATCTCTCCTATTTGGAAAGTTTCTAGGTTTTTTTAAATATCGTATTTATTATATTTATTTTATGTGTGAGTGTATTACCTGCATGTGTGTATGTGTGCCCATATCGTGCAGCGCCCATGGATATCAGAAGCAAGCATTGAATTGCCTGGAACTGGGGACGATTGTTATCTGTCATGTGGGTGTTAGGAACCAAACTGGAGTCCTCTGCAAGAGCAACCAGTGCTCTTAACCTCTGAGCCATCTCTCCGGCCCCCTTGTTAAGTTTTTATTTGTATCATTCTTATATCAAGAAAATTGTATCCTGTGACAGCAGCTTAATTTCTGCTCTACTATATGGGAAATATTTACAATGAGAGCAAAACCTAGGGCTAGTGAGATGGTTCAGCAGGTGAAAGCTCTTACTGCCAAGCCTGATGATCTGAGTCAATCCCTGGAACCCACATGATTGGAAGGAGAGCACTGACTCCTGTGGGTTGTCTTCTGATCTCCACATGCACTCAATGGCATATCTATGCCACACATGTACACCTCCTGTGCATGCGTGCGTACACACACACACACACACACACACACAAAATAAGTAAATGTAAAACAGTTTTTTTAATGAAGCAAAACTTAGATGATTTAGGAAGGGTCGTCCCAATAAAAAGATCATACCTACTCAAAATCAGAAATATGAAATCTATACCACTTTGTGCTCAAACCCATTTTGGATAAAGGACAACCAATGTATCTGAAATGTTTATTAGTCCTTTTATATAAAGGGCATCTTGTAAAGCTCTGCTATCTTTGCCCCATTTTCTTCTCAGTTCAAATGAAGAATAGACCATGGCTGCTTGAGGTTCTCGTAGTCTCTCTGAGACTGTTACAGTGTTAATCGACTGTGTGGACAGGACCTGATCATTTAGCCAAACCCTGTGGATGAACATCTGGCTTTGCACAGTCATCTGCTACTATAAATTGTACTCTTAAGAAATCATTTTATAAAAAAGAAATCACTCCAAATTCATAATTTTCCATGTGTGGGATACATGCAAGGGGAAAGATGCACGTTATATGCATTTATACTTTAAATAGTTATTGTTGTGTTACATCGCTTAGATAAAAAATTTAAACCCCACATGTGTTTCCCTATGGCTTTACTACCAGATGTAGCCATGCATTTTTATTTTGCCACTTGTGTCAGTTAAAAACTAGTTTAGTTTTATCTTGCATTTTCCTAAAGCTTTTTATTAATAACTATTTTTCTATTTGTCTATGGATGTCTTCATTTTTTCCCTGTTTTAACCTTAAATTGTATTACTGTTTTTGTAGTTGTAGAAACATACAGTGGACCCAGCACTAAATGAGACTTCTGGGACTGACTGCACCATCAGAATTGGGAATACCATTTAAAAAAAATCTCTCAGTAGTGTCACATTCCGTCATTTGTGCTGTCATCACCAGCTTCTCTTTCAGGTTTTCCTGTATCACTATGAGTATTTTCCCTCACACATCAGCTGTTCTTGTAGGCAGCTGCTGTCCCGTGTTCCTGTGATTAAATACCTTCCTCCCTGACAGCTGACTATCCTCTTACTTAGAACCACATTAGCCCCTCACTTCCTCCCAATGACTAGGCCTCCTCCCCACTGTCTTTGTGTATTTTATTTTTCTGCTGATATTTTGAATACTTTTTCTTCATTCACCTAGACACAAATGTTTTGATAAGGCTCAAATTTTTTTATGGCTTATCTTCTTTCCACCTCCTCCTCCTCCTCCTCCTCCTCTTCTCCTCCTCCTCCTCCTCCTTCCCCTCCTCTTCCTCCTCTTCCTCCTCTTCTTCCTCTTCCTTCTCCTCCTCCTCCTCCTTCTCCTTCCCCTCCTCTTCCTCCTCTTCTTCCTCTTCCTTCTCCTCCTCCTTTTTGTTTGTGTTTGTTTGTTTGTTTGTCAATCTCCCTTAAACCCACTGTGGCTCAGGCTGTCCTCAAACTCATGACCTTTCTGCCTCTGCTTCCTGAGTTCTGAAATTATGTCCCTGGGCCATCACACCAAGTTCTTTGTCCTCTTTCTTCCCTGTCATTTCATCTCTGAATGATGGTGGTAGCAGCATGGCCAGGGCAGATGTGCATATCTCCCAGGGTCTTACCTGCTTACCCCAGACTCCAGTCCTCGGCCATCCCTTTGTTGTATAAGAGATTCTCTTAGTCTTTTGTATATCCCAATCTGAAACAGTTGCCTACTGCTCTTTAGAACAAATTTTCTCATGCTTGGTGACTTAAACCAGCCCAAATTTACTATCACAGTTTCCTTGCTTCAGGAATCTGGAGAATTGGTGTGTTCTCCAGTTCACAGTCACAGGATTGAAATCAAACTGTTGTACTGTTTTCATTTGGAGCTCATGGCCCACTTCTCAGCTCGACAGGCTCTTGGGGAAATTTATTCCTTAGGGTTATAGGAGTGAAGTTCCCATTTCCTCTTGCACCTCCTTGAGGCCTCCTGAGGAACTGAGCACATGGCTGTTCACTGTCCCACAACCAGCAAGGGCTGCTCTGTTCAGTCTGCCAAGATTGAGTCTTATATAAAATGGGCTAATCATTGGCATGAAATCCCATCCTTTCTATAGGTCCCCGCCATGCTCAAGGAGGACTTTCTGGAAAGCTTGCAGATGGGGATGGGAGGCTCAGAGCAACCTCAGCCTGCCACAGTGTCCTTCTCATCATCTAGTGTCCAGTTGGAATTATGTTCCTTCATGAACTCTTTTTATAAGCTTTTCTCAGAGTATGAATAGCTCCCTTGCATTTCTCCACACAGTAGTTTTTATCAGCTCTTATTCTGCCTCATATGTGTGAAATACAGCCTTAACATTCATGGTTGTGACATAATCTAAACAGGATACTTTACCTTTGGAATAAATGCTACTGGATGCACATTTTATAGTGCCTTGCTTGCTCTCTCCACATTGTTGAGCTATACACTGTAGCCCCAATGAAGCATAAATGTGGTATTTTACTAAAGTTTTATTCTCAATGGTCTGATGCATGTTTTCTGAATGTCAAACATCCAATGCAGCATGTTTTGAAGATGTGTCTTTGTATGGCAAACCACTTAGGGAATGATCTTGTCTTTCTTCCTCTTCAGTGGCCTGGATATAGGGTGCTAATATTTGAATCAGAGCCAGTAAAGGTTACAGAAAAATCCTAATTCAGAAGCAGGAATTGGGGCTTAAAAATGCTGGAATGGAAGCTAGAGAATGGCTCAGTGCATTAAGTGAATGCTGCACAAGCATGAGGACCCACGCTCCACAGCACCTATGTAAAAAATCAGGCGCAGCAATGCATGCCTATAATCCCAGCACTGGAGAGGCAGAGATAGGAAGATCCCAGAAGCTTGCCATCCACCCAGTCTCACTGATTCAGAGAACTTCAGGTTCAGTGAGAGACACTGTCTCAAAAAAAATAAGGTGGAAAAGTGACTAGGAAAGATACCCAGTGTTGACTTCTGGCTTCTCAATACACACACATTCACCTGCACACACACATTCAGACACATGCATACACATACAGAGACACACACAGACACACACACATACACACAGACGCATACACACAGACACACACACACACACACACACACACCACATGCTTGGATGGCGGGGTAGAGGGTGGTAAGAAAAAACCTGGACTTTCTGAGCAATCAAAGACACTGCCCCAATTTGTGTGACTCCAGAGAGGTTCCAGAGGGACATAGGGAATGTGGAGAGGAAGGAAAAGGTCAGATGGGTATCCTCTTGGATGAGCCCATAGCTACACTTTAGCACTGCTGCTAAGAGGCATCCAGTCCACATTGCCAGTCAGTGCCAGGCCTCCATCTGTTCTTTATGTCTACCTAAATGGTCATTTTCCTTTGTTTCCTAACCATAGCTGGTGCTCATGATCAAATCGGCTGGGCTTTTGGCCTAGGGTTAGAAAGACTGGCTATGATCCTCTACGACATCCCTGACATCCGCCTCTTCTGGAGTGAGGACGAGCGTTTCCTGAAGCAGTTCCACGTGTCAGACATCAATCAGAGGGTGAAGTTTCAGGTAAGATGACTTACAAGAATTAAGGAAATATCAATAAATGCTCATCAGAAGCTGGGAAGAATCACCTGAAAACTGTTGGATTTTAAAATAGTGTTTTGAAATTGGGGTAACAATCTTGATTGTCAACTTGGTAACATTTAAAGTCACCATGGAAACAAATCTCTGGGCACATCTATGAGGAATTATCTAGATTAAGTAAATCAGGGTTAGAAAACCCACCCTAAATGTGGGCATTACCATTCAATGGACTGGGTCCTACACTGAATTAAAAGGAGAAAGGGATTGATCCCAAGCAGGCATTGCTCTCTGCTTCCTGACTGTGGAGGCAGTGTAACCAGCTGCCTCCTACTTCTGCTGCCATCTCTCACCTGCCATGATGGATTATATACCCTTCAACTGTGAGCCAAAATAAACCCTTCCTTTTTAAAGTTGCTTTTGTCAAGTGTTTTGTTACACAACAAGATAAGCAACTGATGTTTATGGTTTTCAGATAGAGGTCTTTAAACACTGGAGGGGGTAATCATAAATCTTTAAGAATTATATGTAGGAAAAAATACTAATGTCATTAGTTTGCTCAGAGAACCAACTATAGGCTTTTTTAATGGTCCTTCAGTCATTGTGAAATACCTTTGGCACTGATGATACTTAAAAAGTTGACATTTTCTGATACTGACATAGGTATGCTAGAGGATTTTTATATCCTTTTTATTATTTCATTTTCATTCTATTTTTTATATTTAAGTTTTTATTAGCAGCTTATGCTATTAAGGCTATTTTAAATCCAGATTTGAAGTCTCTGTCTTCTAATTAGAGTGCTGAACACATTTACATTTAATATAATATTTTATGTAATTGAGTTAATTCTGTCATCTAGATTTTTCTTCCCATTTTCCCATCTTGTCCTTACTTCTTTTATTGCCTTGTTTAGAAAGTGAGGCTTATTGCTTTATGTTCTGTCATCCATTTAATTTCTTTAATTGCTTTTTATATAATTTTAAGGAGTTTTTCTTGATTATGATATGCGTAATGAATCTATCACATTTCACTGTGAATGAATATTATGCATTTTCTTGAAATAGTTAACATTATTATGCAATTCTATTTGCCTCTCTTATTTGTGTTTTATTGCCACCTTATTTTTCCGTGTACTATTGTCTCAACATATTGTACTAGTCATTTGTCTTTTAATGATTTAAAGCTTTTGGGGTTGGAGAGATGGCTCAGCGGTTAAGAGCACTGACTGCCCTTGCAGAGGACCCGGTTCGAATCCCAGCACCCACATGGTGGCCAACAGCCATCCATAACTCCAGTTCCGGGGGTTCTAACACCTTCTTCTGACCTCTACAGGCATTGCGCAACACGGGTGCACTTATACACATGGAGGAAATACACTCATACACATTTGAAAAAAAAAAACAGATTTAAAGCCTTATTGGCTGTACATGCTGTTTAGTATTTATCCAGTGACATCGTGGTTTTTTTCTGTGATCATTTCCCTTCGGTCTGGAGAGCTTCTTCTAGCAATGCAGGATGAGGTTTTTCAGCTTTTGTTTTTCTGAAAACACCTTTGTTTCACCTTTATGTTTTAGGAATATTTTTCATAATTTTCGTTTTCTAGGTCATCAGATGTTTTGTAATTATTTTCTTTATCCTGTCATTTCTTTATGTGTATCATTTCACTGACTTGTTGCTTCTTTTCTTTTTACCCTGGGTTTTAGTAGTTTGGCCTGTGTAGGATTTTCTGTATGTTATCTTGCTTGGACGCTCACTGTGTTGGGTTACTGCCTTTCAGGTGTTTCGGGAAATCCTAGTCTCTCTTCCAGTAATTCTGCTTCATGTAAAGATCGCCTTTCCTCTGATTTCTGTTTACAAGTTCCTGTTTCCTTCAAAGCCCTCATGAGCAGGGCTTTTGACACACATATTTCTGATATCAGTGTTAGGATGAGTTCCTCCCTGACAGTATAGATATTCTATGTCATGCTCCTCACTTCATCCTTAGCCTTTCAGAATCTTTAAATTGTGTTTCTACAGCAGTATGTTTAGGCACGCTAACCTTTTAGTCTCATGGTGCTCAGAATTCTACATCCATGAACTAATCCCAAGACCAGTTCCATACTTTAGGTGTTTGTTCTAAGTGTTACTTAATTCCAAATACCAAAATATGTATTAGTTTTTATTGCTGCTATGACAAATGACCAGAAATTCAGTGGCTTCAAATAACACGAATATACGACCTTATGGAGGGCAAAGATCAAATTCAGTCTGACTAAAGCAAAGGTGTGAGTAGATGTGGTTCCTTTGGAGGTGTCCAGGGCATACTGTTTACATGCCTTTGCCAGCTCCTGAGCCCCCATCCCTTGACTCATGACTAGACATCACATGACCTTTTTCTCCTCTGAAATCTCATCACTCTTACAAAGACTCTTGTAATTTCCATGGTGTTAGCAACATAGCTCAGGATAACTTTCCCATTTCAAGATTTTTCTTAATTGCATCTGTTAAGACATTTTTGAAGGTAAGAAATTCATAGGTTCCAGGCCTCTGAATCTGTCTAGAATAGTATATTTTGTCTGTCACTTACTCCCTTTTATATTTAGTTGCTTGTCTTCAAGTATAATAGTTTGGTTATCATTAGCAGTTTTTACTATTTGTATAGAGTGGTTATGTTTATGTTTATGTTTATAAAGGGGAACTTAGGAGATTCTTGTCACATAAGCAACCATCTGTAACCCTAAAGAAGACTGCTTCAGAGAAGTGGAGATATGGGAAAAATCCTACTGCAACTGTGAGCTTGTGGTTCTGGCCAGGAACCCCCTGCATCCTGTTGTGTGGTGGCAGAAGTTTATCTTCTTTATCTTCTTCCTAACTTATGCTCCAGTCCCTCTTGACCTCGGTGGTTGTGTCCTCTGTACTCTCCATGGTCTTATAAATCCATTCATCTGGCTGTGAGGGTGCTTTTAGTATTGGGGCAGTCTGATTTAGAGCACTCCAAGGCCTTGTTGAGGACAGTCTTCTGCAATACCTTGAGAGCCATTGTTTAGATCTAGTAAGTAGGAGCCTTGTTATGTATTTAATTTTTAGTCTTCCTCATGCACATTTTGAGTCAAGGGCTTTGCCTGTTATGGCTATCTTTAGCTCACCAGGATTATGCTTGAGACAAATGAACCATTAATGGGGCTGTCTTGTCATGCAAGTGTCCTCTTGTTCTGCAAAGAAAGCTCACTGTCCACCACTCCAGGTTCCTGTGTGCATTCTGCATGTGTGTGCCTTTGTGGGATATGTTCCTGAACGCCTATGAAGTCATGTTTGCGTTTCAGTGCTTAGAACTGAATGCACAGTAATTCAACTTTCAATCATTCTTCAAATCTTTTAAACAGTCCAAAACTATGAGTTCAATATTTAGCCCTACACAGTAATAATATATCATACAAATTATTTGCATAGCTTACTTAAGTGTCATTAGTCACATGCCTATCCATAGTAGCTCACCAATTATTCAACAACATTGCAGTTTCTTTTTCTCCCAGTTGAGAAGTCTTGCAGGCTGTCATTGGTGTCTGCGCACTATATTATTCCTAAATCTGGTTGCTGTCCCAGCTACTTGTTACAGCAACTGGAGGATTGAGAGTGAGGGCACGTGAAGACCTACTGAATCACATTTGATTCTATGTGATAGCTGACACTCACTCTGGCCTTGTATGTGACATTGTGGAGGAATTTCCCAGCCTTGACCTTCTTAACAGCTCTGAAACTTCGTTACTGGTATTCCCCCTCCCCACCCCCGAAACCAAACCATCTCGATATCAGCCTTAGTCCAATGCATTGCTCAGTCAGGACATCAGGGAGCTATTTCTTGAAGATTAACCTGACTTAAAATTCATAGGTGGATTATTCATAGCCAAAGCATATGGCACCCATACATAAACAGAAAGCGTCAAGTTTAATTAATCTGCTTTATGGATCTAATAGTAGCAAACTACATATATTAATGATTCTCTGACTTTAGTGTGCAGATGGATCCTGTTAAATGCAGATTCTAATTTGCTGTTTCCCTGTGGACCTTGTGATTCTGCATTTATAACTACCTGCTGGTTGTTGCTGATGCAGCATGTCCACAAGCCACATTTTGAATGGCGGCAGTAGTGGGCAAAGGCTTTTGCTTGTCAGATCCTCCCTCGGCCACATCATCTGTAGTGAGGCCAGACCCTTCCCCAGGGGTAAGATGCCTTCCTCCTCCGCTGCACCCTCATCCCAAGTTTAGCATGACTGTTCCATAAGCAGATCCATAATTTGTAACATTTATATGTCATCTTGAAGCTCTTCTTTTTTCTTGCCCTAATTTTGTAAATTTGAAAGAATTGTAATACTTTTACACTCTAACTTTTTGATGAACTACCTAAGATTCCTTTCTTCCCTCCCTTCCTCCCCTGTCTTCCCTCTTCTCCCTTCCCTCACTGTGTACTTGTAGCTCTTCAGGTGAGGGGATGGTGTAAATAAACTCATACAATTTAAATGAACAGTGAAAAATTATACTGAATTCAGAGATTAAAAAAAATATTATTTCTATTTTATGTGTACGAGTATACTGCCTACATGTGTAAATGCACCTGTGTTGTGCAGTGACCTCAGAAATCAGAAGAGGGCATTGGATTCCCCTGGAACTGGAGCCATATGAGTGCTGGGAACCAAACCCACATCCTCTATAAGAGCTGCTAATGCTCCCAACCAGCTGAGCCATCCTCTCCAGTCCCTAATTCAGAGATTTGATGATGTGCTTTATGCTTAAAGTAAAGGGAAAATGCTATTATTAAAAGCAGAAAAAAACTGAATTAGAGATGATAAAATAGATTAAATGGGCAAAGAATTTCATTTTTAGGCACTAGCAAGATAACAACTATCAAAGTTTCCTGTTTCACAGATCTCAAGAGAAACTGTTTGTCTGTGCCCTTCCTGCAGCGGCAGACATCAACAGTGGATGTTGTGTTGTCTGAGGCCTGGGG